GACTATGAGATTGTGGGGTCAGTGGGGCTTGCCTTGGGGTTTTTTCAAGCCACCACTGATACTCATCTGCTCTCTGATGAGCCTGATAGAGCTCCTTCCCTGAGCCCCCTTTCTGGGGAACTTCAGGGTGGGGTAGGGCTCAGCCGGGCTGCTACCTGGAGACAAATGGTTGGGACCAGAGGCCTGGATCCAATACCCTCCAGGCTTTCCCAAGAACAGGAAACATTCTTTCTCAACCTGGAGCCACAGCGCAGAAACTGGGGCTTGTGAAATCCAGTTGGGGCAAGTAGGGATCAAGGCCAGAAGCCACAGCCTGAGGGTCTGGCCTACCCTGTCCCACCTCCTGCTTTGCCCCCGCATGTCCACGCTGCCCCTCAGGCCCCGCTCAGATGCCCCTCCTCAGGGTGCCTCCAGTCACTCTGCCTCATCCTCCCTGCTCAGCCCTCTCCATCTGGGTCGTGCTGATTGCTCAACCTTGACTTTCTCTTCTCCCCATCCAGCTGCCAGATTCTTTAGGGCAGGAGCAAAGCTGTATATTGGCCTAGAACCAAGTGGCTAAAGGTCCCCGAGATGGGCTGTTTCTGGAGCCGTAGGAGAGGCCCCCTCAGAGGCTGGGAGGGCAGGTGGGCGAGAAGCTGCACTGTGGATCTGTTCCACGTCAGCAGGTGCTGGGCACCTGCCTATATTATCTCATATGCTTCTGACAACAGCCTTGTGAGATCGACATTCTCACACTCATTTCAAGACAAGACAACTCACCGTGAGAACTCACCTTGAAAGGTGGCTTTGCCAAGGGTCACACAGCCAAGAAGCGGTGGCCCTGTGGTTTTAACCCAGTGTTTCTGGCACCACACTCGGTGCCTCCTGGGAAAGGGAAGAGGGTGGGAGAGGACAGGAGCCAGCCCTGACGCACTGTGCTTTTGTGGGTGGTTTCCTCCAATGCCCGCAATGATGGCTGTGCAGCCACAGGCCCACGTTTAGGCCGCTGTGAGTCTGCGTTAGGATGGCAAGGGTACGCCAGGCTCTGGCATTCTTTGTGGGACCATCATCTTGGCACCCCTTCCAAGGGGAGAAGCATCCAGGCTGTGCCTGCCTTCTCTCTCACCCCTTCCACCCGGGTCCTCCTCTGAGCTTCCCCAGTCAGAGGTTCAAGGGCCATGGGCATCCCTGGCAGTGGGCAGGGAGAGCTGAAGGGCACAGCAGGCTGTGCTGCCTTTCGGGGGGGGCGGGGCTTCCCCCGCCTCCCACTCTGAGAAAAGAGGAACCTCCTAGCAGCGTGGGAGCTGCAGGGACCTGGGGAATCAGGGTGAGGGAGGGGACTAGGTCACCATGCTTGTTTACCTGCCATGCCAGGGGCCATCTTTGGCTCTTCTGAGGCCACCCTGGAAGCCAAGGTAGGGTGCCTGATTCAGAGTGGCATCTGGGCCTTCCTTCCTGGGGGGAGATGGGCTGGGGGCATGTCTGGTGGCCTTTGAGGACCAGGCTTTCCTTGGAAGCCAGTCCTCAGTACCTGCTCTGGACCTGGCCCTCAGCTAGACATTGTGAGAGCAATGAAATGTAGAAAGGCCTCCCCATGGCCTGGGGGTGCTTCTGGCCAGAAAGGGAGAGTGTCTGACCCTCAGCATCTGTGGTGCAGAGAGCCATGCTGACGGAGAACAGGGACGGAAGGCCTGTGAGGGGCAGGGGAGCCACGGGAGGCTTTCTAGACAGAGGAGGGGACTGGGGACAGGGGGCTGAGGTGGAGGGAGAAGTACAGCGAGAACATTGTTGATGGTCCCGGCGTAGGCTCTGTTTGCGGGCCTGACCTCTCAGCCCCAAAGCCGGCCTGGCAGGAGGCTCCCTCGTCCTCCCTGCCAGCCCTCCACGTCACTGGGGCCTGGCCCTCTCTTGCCTTCCAGAGGCCTGGAAAAGGATGGCAGCCTCGGCGAGGGCGTCATGCTGAAGAAGCAGAGTGGCATGCACCTGATTCTGCCGGATGCCCATGATGCAGACTCCGGTAAGAAGGTGCCTGTGGGCAGCTGCCCACATGGGCCCACAGCTCCCTCTCCCAGCCAGAGCACCAGCGGGAGAGTGGCCCCTGCCCAGCCTGCTCCTGGTGGCCCTGCCCAAGGGCCTGTGCGAAGGAGCTGCCATCAGGTCTTTCAGGGCCCATTGTGGCTCTGGGGCAGGATGGCTGCTAGGCCTGGGTGGGAAGTGGACAGCTGAAGTGGGCAAGGGAGAGACCCTACCTCCCGGCTGGAGGCGAAGAGAGAGGGAATACTGGGGTGAATGACAGCTGTGGAGCATAGAGGCTACAGCCTGAGGTCAAGGTCTGCCATCCTAGCGTCCTTAGTAGGAAGGAATGAGCTGGGCTTATATTTACAACTCTAAGCTCAAAGCTGACTTTTAACTGAGGACCTGAATAAAGCAGCATGCATTCCTCAAAGACACAAGAAGAATTAGTCACAGGAATGAAAGTGTGGGGGAGTCGTACTTAGTGGCCTTGCTCATTTTTTCCACTTCTGTGGACATGAACCAAGTTGCGCCTTCGTTGTAAAGTGACGGCGTTGGTTTCCGGTGCCAAGCCCAGCACCTGACTTGACAGGTGCACCGGAGGCAGCTCCCAGGAGAGAACCGTGCAGGAGGGCAGAGCGCCCTTGCAATGAAAGAGGGAGGAGCCACAAACAAATTATTAGGATTCCGTGTGCATTCGTCTTACAAACTGAAATCGTCTGTGGTTTACCCTGAGGTCTTCTGAGTTTATTGGAGTCTTTATTGCCTCTGAGAGAGAGAAAGTGCTTGCATTTCACCTGCATGTGAATTGTAAATGCCAACAGCTCAGATATCCTGACCCAGAGCTGCCACAAGAAGGGCTTCTCCAGAGGTCACGGGGTCTGACCTGAGCTGCTACCCCAGGGTCCTTCACAGCATAACCTCATTTTTGTGTAGGAAGCAATAATATGCTCTTGTGAAAACAGCAAAAATAGCAAAAGGAAGAAAAATCACCCGTAATTTTTCCACCCAGTCCTTAATAAAGTTCTTAATTCACTTTTTTCTATGCCCATATTTCTTTTTTATAAAAATGTGGTCATTCTTTCTTTCAGCCTGCTTTCTTCACCTAACTGTAGAATCTGGACATCTTTCCACATCAATGTCCATATCTGTGCATTATTATTTGAATGACTGCATAGTCTTGTATGATTACACCCTCAATTGTTTTTTTTATTTGTTTGTTTTTTGGGTTGTTTTTGTTGTTGTTAATCCTCATCTGATTATATTTTCCCATTGATTTTTAGAGAGAGTGGGAGGAAGGGGGAGAGAGAGAAACATCGATGTGAGAGAGACACATTGATTGGTTGCCTCCCACATGTGCCCTGACCAGGGCCAGAGATTGAACCTGCAACCAAGGTACATGCCCTTGACTGGAATAGAACCCTGGATCCTTCAATCTGTGGGCCAATGCTCTATCCACTGAGCCAAACCAGCCAGGGCCCTCACTTGTTTTTAATGAGTCCCTGTTGTTGGACATTCGGTCATTTCGGTCAGTGTGATGACAATAGGCAGTAGTAGACGAGCTTGGTTGCCAACGTTTATGATTGTGTTGCTTGGGGATAGACTCCTCGATGTGGACTCGCCGCCTGATTGCCCCTCTGAAGCTCCTCTTCCCAGCTCTGGGTCAGGGGATGAGGTGGGTGGGCCCTCACTGGTGGCTCTGTGAGCTATTTCCCCTGATTCGGTGGCCCTGTCTCTCTCTGGGGGCCTGGGGTGTGTGGCCCTCTGACTCTGCTGCTCAACCCCTTCCCCTCTTGCTCTGCAGGCTCTCGGCGGGCATCGTCCATCGCAGCCTCGCGGCTAGAGGAGGCCATGTCGGAGCTGACCATGCCCAGCTCTGTTTTGAAACAGGGCCCCATGCAGCTGTGGACCACGCTGGAACAGATCTGGCTCCAGGCTGGTGAGTGCCTCC